CAAGATGAGCGAATACCACGCCGCCATTGGCCTTGCATCAATGCAAAAATGGGAGCAGCATGCGCAGGCTAGGCGGGCGCTATATGCCGATTTGATACATGAAATCGCTCATGTAAGCCCCTGGCAGCTGGGGTGGCAGGCTCAGGGGGCAGGTGGCCCGCTCATGGCGCCTACGCTGTTGTGCGCTCGCCTGCCCGATGAAGCTGCGCGCGTGGCGCTGGAGTCGGCATGTCATCGGGAGCAGGTTGTTACACGGCGCTGGTATCAGCCATTGCTTTCGCAGATGGGTGCTCTGCAAGGGAAGTGCGAGCCCCTGCCTGCGCCCAACGCTCAAGCGTTAGCCCGCACGTTACTAGGGCTGCCCTTCTTCCTGGGAATTACGTCGCAGCAGCGCCAGAGGATGGGTGCGGCATTGGTGCGGCCGTGAGTGCCGATTTACCGCAGCCAGGCGGCGTTGCACATGGCACGGGAAAGCGGCTGGCCATAATGCAGCCGTACCTGTTTCCGTACCTAGGATATTTCCAATTGCTGCATGCCGTGGACGAATATGTTGTCTATGACGATGTGAATTTCATCAAGGGTGGCTGGATCAATCGAAACAACATTTTGATGGACGGAGCGCGGATGCTGTTCAGCATTTCCTTGGTGCATGCCAGTCCAAACCGGCTCATCAATGAAATTGAGATTAAAGATGATTTTTCAAAATTCTTGAAGATGATAGAGAACGTGTATGCTCGCGCGCCTTGCAAAAAGCCTGTCATGGAATTGCTGCAGCGGATTTGCTCCAATGGCGACAAGAATCTTGCGCGATTCAGCATGTCGAGTCTGGAGGAAGTGGCAGGGTATATTGGTATTGATACGCCAATGATCCTCTCGTCGCAATTGAAGAAAAAAGATGATCTGCGTGGGCAAAACAAGGTACTACATATTTGCGAACTGCAAGGTGCGAATTGCTATATCAATTCCATTGGGGGACAGGCGCTGTATGACCGCTCTGCATTCGAATTGCGCAATATCTCACTGCGCTTTCTTGAGACTAGAGAAGTTACGTATAAACAGTTTGGTCGGCCATTTGTTTCGAACTTATCCATGATCGATGTGTTGATGTTCAATGAGCCGCCAGCGATCATGAAAATGCTAGGTGAATACGAATTGCTGTGAGGGTCTTATAGTTTTGGCGTCGAGAATGAGATTTCCCGGATTGAAGCTTTATGTGGTGAATATTTTAATCGTGAGGTATGATTTTAGGTCGCGGTGATTTTCAAAAATGTGATTGTGCACCAGGGGTGTAAAACGATTCATGTTTCCCACCTATGGATGATTCTCATTGAGAATTATCGCCCATTCAGTTGGCGGAGTTGCCTTGAGTGAATTGCATTGCACTATCTGGCATGTGCACTGTCAATCTGGAGCTTTACAAGGCCGAGCAACGTATTGGGTATATTCGGGGCGGGCTATGGATGTGATGTTTTCAAGATGCCGAAGGAAATTATCGGCCTGTTAGACTGATGAAGATATTGCCTGGTCTGATGCTTTTCACTTGTCATCATCC